TGGGGGTGGACGCTGGCGGGGCCGCAAGTTGATGCGCGCCGGCGTCGTCGTGGGCGCGCGCGGGGAGAACGACGCGCACATGCTGAGCGTGGAGGCCAAGGCGCCGCAGGAGGTGGCCGACTGGTCCAGGGTCTTCCACGTCGTACGCCTCAAGTGGTCGCCAGGTGAGTGCTGCTGCTCGTTGGAACGGCGGTCGTTGAGAAATTCGAAAAGAAAGCTGCAACTTCGCATTAATCATTGCAGAAGTTATTGTGTCATAAGTTTTTACTTATCAACTTGCTCTACAAAACTGGGCTGTAGAGGGCGAGGAGAAAGGGGGCGTGGGTGCTCTTTTTCTTCTAGTAGAGACAGTCTTGGGGACTGTCTAAAAATCTGTGTTTGCATCCCCAGTTGTGGCAAACCGACGTGAAACCTTTTGTTGCAGACGGCTACGAGTTTTGGGTCGACGGCGAGCCTGTGGGGCGCGGTAAGATCCCTGTGCCGCAAGGTGGCTTTGCCAGTCTCACCGAGGACCCCGGTCAGCACGCGTGGGCCAGCGGAGGCCAGGACGCTCCGTTCGACCAGGAGGTGGGCCCTGTTCACTCGACTTTGTCACGGGTGATGGAGGAGAGTGCATGTTCTTAACACTTATTTGTTCATTGCCTCGCAGTTCTACCTTTCTCTCGGCCTGGGTATCGGCGGCCTCAACAGGTTTCCGGATAACGTGACCAACGGCCAAAACGCCGAACTCCCCAAACCGTGGAAAAACACAAGCCCCAAGGTAACTGATACGGACATTTTTTTGTTTTAAAGTCAAAGTTCAGATTTTTCTTCAATTTTTTACGGCTTCTTTCTGTTTCAGGCTATGCTCAACTTTTGGAAGGCCAAGGACCAATGGTACCCCACATGGCAATCACCACACTTGCAAGTCAGCTATGCCAAAGTGTGGGCATTGTAATATGTATTAAGATTTCGACTGAGTTTATTTATGTATATGTATTAATACCACATATAAGAATACACATTCTCACTCCACTTTGATTACATCTAATTTTTATATGATACCGTATTTCCTTAAAAAAATAAACACTTGAAAGTAAGTACAAAACTAACGACGCAGCAGACCTGCTCCCGTCTGGACTCACAGCCTATCGGTTCCCTCCCCTCCCCTCCCCACCATACTGATAAGGATTGCTTTTGATTGCTTCGGCGCTGCTCAGAGGGCCATCACCTTGATGTGGGCGATCTCCATGGCGGGGTGTGTCCACGTCGGGATCCAGTGGTCGCGCGCCTTGTAGAAGTCCAGCAGCGCCTGGCCCACAGACACGAGCACGTATGTACCAGTAGTTGGAAGTCATGGAATTTATTCAACTCGTGAAAACTCATCCGCCCCCCGTTGATGGGACTCTCGTTCCTTACCTTGGGGCTGCTGTTCTTCCAAGGCTTCGGGTGCTCGCTGTACTCGCCGTTGACGATGCCGTCGGCGAAGCGGTTCACTCCGCCAACCCCGACGCCCAGGGATACGAAAAACTGCAAAAAAATTAGAATAGAGCGACTCTTTCCAAATGCTGCGTGTGTGTAAACATAGAGTATGCCAGGTTCAGCTCAGCACCTCTTGGTCGAAGGGCGCCATGCTGGAGCCGGCGCGCCACGGGTGGTCAGACGGGCTGTCGGTCATTTTGACGAAGCCACCCTGGGGTGGGCGGATGGTGCTCATGACCTTGCCGTCGATCATGAACTCGATGGACTCTGGAAACATACGGAACGTGAAGGGGTCGGTCGGGATGGCTTAAGCCCTATGGGCGCTGACGGTGGTCGTGCGCGGGCCTTACCCGGGGTCCACTTGACGCGGTACACCCTGAAGTGCTTCTTCCTCCAGGTGGTGCCGTTGCCGGCCCGCTGATCCGACTCCAGGAGCGTGGGCATGATGTCCTGGCCCGGCGCCTTCCCGATGGCCACCCCAGCCCTCAGCACCTGGCGGAGGGTTAAGATGTACCGTGTGTTGTCACTGCAGGAGCAATCCCTCTTGAAGTGCAGGACCCTGAAGTAAGGCTACCGCTTGGCCCTGCGGCCCCACCCGATCACTCACCTGTAGGCCGGTCCTGGGCTTGCCTTGGCGCTTGGCCATGAAGCGGTTGCCCAGCGCGTAGGGGAGGCGGATCTGGCCGCCGGCGTACCACTTGCCGTACGTGGAGGAGGCCGGGTCCAGGGTGATGGCTGCGGGAGTGAAATGTTCAGAAACTGCATCTCTCTGGGTGGACGCGGGCGCCCGGCTGGGCGGGCTCAAAGCGGCGGCAGTTATCAGCTGCTGACCATGACCTCAGCACGCGGGCCGGCCGGGAATTGGGTCGGCCCAGAGTGGAGTAAACGAGGGCTCCGCCCGCTGCAGCATCTGCCGGCAAGGCTTGACGTACCTGGGTAGATCCAGTCTCCCTCGGGCACCAGCACCCTGGCTTCCACGATGCCGTACCGGAACGTGAAGGTGTCGCGGGTGGTGAGGCGCGCCGAGCGCACCGCCGGCAGCACCCGGTACGTGGAGGCCGTTCGCTTGCACTGGTCCCTGGTCGTCGACGTGCACCTGCGCACACACAGCATGGGTTTAGCGTCTGTGTAATAGGCAGCCGATGTGAGTCGCCGTCGCCGTAGGTCTTCTTTAGCGTTCCTCTGCTTCGAAGTACGTCTATCTATACCTTTCTTGGAGTTTAGTTCCCCCTCTACACGACAGAACATACCCGTCCAAACTGAGCGTGCCGTTCATGACGAAGCCCGGTCCGTAAGAGTCCTCCAGGATGGTGGGCTTGATGTGCAGGATGCTGTTCTCGACCCAGCTGTTGTCCGGGTCCTTGTCGTACGCGACGAACTCAAAGTCGGGCTCGTCGGGCATGAGCACGTCGTGCTTCCAGAGGGTGAGGTTGAGCACCTCGAAGTGCTCGTCCAGCAGAAGCTGGTAGCGGCACGCCTTCTTGCCGCCGTTGTACGTCGTCTCGGAGGCCACGCAGTCCTCGGCGTCGCGCGTCCCCTTGGGCCCGCCGCCACCGCGGTCGTAGGTCGGCGCCGAGTCCTGGTCGGCGCCGCCCTGGTCCGCGTCGTAGTTCGGCCCGGACGGCCCGGGAGGGTGCCGGCCGTTGGGGTGGGTCTGCCCGGTCGGCCCTCGGGTCGGCATGTCTGCCGGTCAGTGAACATGATGGTGAGCTTGGAGCGCCCTGAGGTACGTGCAGTTTAGCTGGTCCTCGTCTCACCTGTGTGCGCCTCCGGGTCGGCCTGGCCGTGCGGGCCGCTCGGGGTGCCGCCCCCGTTGCTGTCGAGAGGGTACCAGCGGCCGTCCGGGCCGACGAGCACCTTGACGCCGTTCATCTCCTTGAGCGTGTACACCTGGCCGTTGGGCGACACGAAGTGCGCCTTGGCCTGGCCGGGCTGCGCGGCCTGCCGCCGGTACTGCTGCCCGTTGGCATAGAGGTTGGGGTTGTTGGGAGTCTGTTGGTTGAAGTGACCCGGCTGCGGGTAGACTCCTTGTCCCTGGCTGTAGAAATTCCCCTGGCCGGGGAAATTGTTCTGGGCCGGGTACGTGCCCCGATTGGGGAAGGTGCCCGGCTGCGCGTGGAAGTTGCCCTGGTTGCCCTGGTTGCCCAGGAGCTGGCTGAGCGTGGCCGCGTCCACCTCGCGCACCTCCACGTCGTACACGGCCGAGCGCGGCTGCGGGGCCGGGTAGTGCCGCGGGTCTGCAACTCCGAGGAAAACATTAAACACATATTACTACCGGCACTGAGTGGGGTTTGTTGAGGTCACATGGGGGCGTCACGTCAATCGCCCTGGGGTATTACGCGAAACGTGGTCCCGAGAATTGTTAGTGCGGTCGCTCGCCCAATCGTGTCGGTCGTTCGTCCAAGCTTGACAAGCGCTCTGAGATCACCATGTCCCGATGGTCCCCTCCCCCTTCTCTCACCCCCGCACTGCCCCCGCACTGCCCCCGCGCTCCCCATTCAAACTGCGCAGGCGGCGGCGGGGCCGGCCACAGCAGCTCGGTGATCTATGACGCGCCAGGAGGAAGACGACGGTCTCTAGCATTTCGTGTGCGGAGATTCCCTGCGGGCGATAACCGCGCCGGACAGGACGAACAAAAGCGGGCGAGACAAAGCGGGCGAGTGGTGTGGCCGCGGCGTTCACACTGCGCCGGGGGG